CCACACCCATAAATACAACAAAAAACACCTGTGCTCAGAATGAGAAAGAATTGTAAATGTGTTTTTGTCGACGCTCAATAAAAAGTTAGGTTTGATTTAAAAACTTCTCAACTTTTTGAAAAAATGAGGATCAACAGTAAGGATAGATGTTGAGAAAAATAATGAGTATGCTTGATTTCGATGCGATATTTATTCTTAAAATGATTACATTACATAAAAGTAATGAAGATTCTTTTAAAGATTATATCGAGCAATAGTTGGTTATTATTATATTCTTTCAAACTTTTGGATACGATAATTATATGTATCTGTAACATATAAATTCATTTCTGAATCAAATGCTACACCATGTGGGAAATGTAATTCATTACTACCATTACCGATTTGACCCGTTCCTGCAATCGTTATACCATATACGGCATTTGGACAAAACATTTGTATTCGATTATTATTACAATCAGTAATATATAAATTACCATACTTATCAAGAATCAGACCTTGAGGACTGTTTAATTGAACTGGACTATTACCGGGTCTACCAGGAATTCCTGCATATATATTTTTATTTCCATAAGGTTCCATATCCCATTGTGTTGCTGAATGGGACTCTTCGTTAGATATGTATAAGATATGATTTGGTTCGTCTAAATATAAACCAGTTGGATTATATAATTGATATGGATTGAGACCTGCACCATTACCACCCTAGAACAATAATGAAGAATTTACCATTTATAAAAATATTTAAATTGTCATATTTGTTTCTGATGCTTTACTTAACAATATCAATCATTTCTTGTCAATCTCGTTTAGTGAAGTTAAAATCAATAACTTACTGCTACAATTGTTCCAACAGTTTTTTTGGGATCATATGTAGATGGCCATCTTGTGATACGTTGATTTTGCAAATCGGCAACGAATATATTTTTCTTTGAATCGAGTGTAAGTCTAAACGGATAACTAAATTCATTTAATGCTGAACCACTTGTACCATTTCCCGCCACTGTTTTTCCACTTTTGGCATCTTTTGTCCAAAATTGGACTCGCTGGTTACCCTCATCGACAACAAAGACATTTTCATTTTCATCTGCAAAAATATCTCTCGGACCGTCCAGTTTGTCTGATGTTGACCCTCCGGCACCATTAGATTGGCCTGCAGCTGTTTTAATTTCACCATTTGGATAACGTTTCTGCACACGATTATTAGAAACATCAGCAACATATAAAATTTGTGTTTTCGGTTCGATAAATAAACCATCAGGAAATTGTAATTGATCTGGATCTGTACCATAACCATTGCCCATGATTGTTATTCCACTTGTACTCCATTTAAGATTACCTGGACCTAGAATTTCAATAAAAATATGTGAGTTTATTTCTCTTCTTAAGATATGAGACAGATTTATTGTGGCGGCAAAACTAATTCGTACGATTTCTTTTTTGATCGAAGATAGTCAAAATATGAACTTTTGAAAATTTGGTGGATATCAAAAGAATCATCATGTTATCTAGTATTTACGCTACAAAAACCAGCGTTATTGAATCAGTCCATGTTAAATAAGAGATCAATCTTTGAAAATCACGCATATTTTATACGCAAAAATTATTCGTGCAATAGACAAACATTCAATAATGCTGATTTTTGTAGTGTAAATACTAGACGATATGGTGATTCTTTTGATATCCAGCGAATCTTAAAAAGTTTTTATTTGGACTATCTTCGATGAAAAAAGAAATCGTATGAATTACTTTTGCCGCCACTATGTATAATTATATGCAGGATCTAATGTCAACTATAAATTAGTACGAGGGATAGTTCAATGAATCTTTTAAGCTTTCATTGATAGTTGTTCTTCTAAACTTTTTAAAAATTTTCTCAGTGTAAAGTGAACCTAATAAAAATTGACTATGAGTATATATATATATAGATATTAGGAACTATAAAATATTTAGTGATATCGACATGTAGTAAATTTATGTCTACTTACAGTCACTCGATTGTTTATAGATAGGTTGACCTGAAAAAGACAAATTAAAGAGAAGTTATTTTGTAGTTTAAAGAATTTCTCATTCACTTACCATTATTTATTCTGATTACCCTAAAAAAAGTAAAGTAGAATATTAACTGTATATTTTTAGTACTTTAGGCAATTTTTATATTTGTATTGAAATGCCAGAAATGGGATGCATGAATTTCAAATTGGATCTATCTCTTTAGTTTATCTTTGTCTTTAATACTTACGCAAATAAGCATAATAAGTAATAGGATATCATTTTGATAGCGACTTTTTATTATTATTAATCGTAGAGTAATGACAAGTGTATGCGTTTCTCATACCTTTTAAATTTTAAATTGTTCTTTATCTATGCATCATCATTTACTAACAATATATTTTTAAAACAACAATGATAGAAAAGAATGATGGAAGAAACGATAACGCTGCGTTTTTTGTTCGTTTCATATGTTGTTAAATAAAGATAAGTAGTGTTTCTTTCACTAGACAGTGAAAATAACTAAAACTATGCGCGAATCATGACGATGCTATTTGTATCTGCCAGTATATTAATGTCTCACTAGAAGTGAGTACCATCGAAAAATCGAATTTTTCTGTTTCACAATTAATTATTGTTTGATCTTATATATTGAATTCGATAAATATAAACTCTGTGACATGATATTATATGTTATTCTCCATTATTTATTATTTTGGCATCAATTCCATAAACAAAACAAATGCAAAAATTTCTGCCATGTATATGGATACTCTTTGTGTCTATAGTTGAAATTGGTTGAGAAAAGCAAACCAGTCCCTGAACAGTATTTGAAACGATGTTCAGTCATGTCTGTTCGAAAATACTATATGAATTGTAATCCTTTAGTTTTATTTTCAGATAGAAAAGTAATTAACTTAGTTTGATATATTTCTTTGTTAAATTTCGCTTTACTAATTACTGAATCTAGTCAACAAACATTTGAGCACACATCTCGAACAATACACGATCTTGCCTTGGAATCTTTAATCAACCGAATGGCGACGGATACCTGTACCTTAGATCTTGCTTTTAGGGTGGGGTGTGGGTGCGGGTGGGTGTGGGTGCGAGTGGATGAGGGTGTGCGAGTAGATGAGGGTGTGCGAGTGGGTGTGGGTATGGATGAAAATAGCACGGACCCACATCCCACACCCACACCCCCACACCCTAGTTCTTCAAGATCGGAGAAAATTGTTTATTGTATTTTTCGGAAATCGGAGAAAGTGGTCTACCGTAGTTATCCAAAATCGGAGAAGACTGTCTACTGTACTTCTCCAAAATTGAAGAAAATCGTCTACGGTAGTTCTCCAAAATCGAAGAAAATGGTCTACCGTAGTTCTCCAAAATCGGAGAAAATTGTGTACTGGAGTTCTCCAAAACCGAAGAAAATTGTCTGCTGTAGTTCGCCAAAACCAGAGAAAATTATTTATTGTATTTCTCCAGAATCGGAGAATATTGTCTACTGTGGTTCTCCAAAGTTGGAGAAAATTGTCTACTGTAGTTCTCCAAAATCGAAGAAAATTGTGCACTTTAATTCTCCAAAATCGGAGAAAATCGTCTAATGATCCCGTAAATTTGGAGAGAATTGGCACTACCAAAATTTTCAAATTCGGAGAAAGCTCCAATCAAAATTTTCCGAAGCAGGAGGGGGGTGACTCCCTATCCCCCCCCCGGTCGCGCCGTCCCTGCTTACTTATATGAAAGTAAAACTTATTCTCCAGAATGATCCTTAAGTATAGCTCCACTCATCCCACTACATGACATAACAATAGTATATTCACCAGGTTTAAAGCCATTTTTTTAAAGATGAGGTGTTAATTTACCTCGAATTTATCCATATCTTACTTGATCCCAATTAACAGTTGGATCATCCATTTTACTAATGAGAACAACTAAATAACGAAAATCAACTGTTTTCACTAACATAGCATGTTCACGCGTTTGATTATCACGCTCAAAACCTGTTTTGCATTCACCTTTACGAGTGAAAATGGCCTAAAATTGTAATTATATATATAAAATATTTGTAAAAAATCAAATACAATACATGAATATCAATATCAAGTTGCGTTGCTCCAACAATCATATTTAGAACAAAATATTTATGACCAGGTGCATAAAGAACAAAAAAAATGTTTTTTTTTCTGTTTCAAACCAAGCTTGACCAGCTTCAACACTTTTTCCTCTTTCTCTTTCTTCTTTATCTGTATCCAATACCCATGATAAATACCAAGATTCACGAGATTTTTCACAAGTTTCATTTTGATATTTTTCTTATGTTCGTGTGTCAACTTGTTCTGTTAAAAATCTAACAAACAAAAATTCATTTTATTTTTTAAATAAATACAATTTACATAAGTTGTCCCCTGATAGTTGATTTTTTAGTATCGACATGTTCACAGAAAAACAATGTTAATAATTTCTTTTTTTGTATCATATCTCATTTAACAAGAACATTTTTCTTTTTTTTTGGAACTGTTGAAGCATCCATCATTCCTAAATATTCAAATAAAAATAATTAAAAAGGAACTATCATTATCATCATCAAGATATTGATTTCCTCCTCTAGTTGGGAGCCCTTCCTCCATTTGTTGTTGATCATTTGATTTGATTTTTATTCATAGTTACTTTTTTTACTTTGATTGGTTTCATTTTTATTTGTATGTCGAACAATAACTCATGTTGATGGAGGAGTTTTAGATACTGCTGGTATTGGAACGTTTGCTGTTTTAAAACTAAATGAAAATCCTGAACCAAATGAAGAAACAACTTCCATAGCATGAACATTTAATCCATCAAATTTTGCTGTTGTTGATACCAACTAGCCGGGGACTCGTTGGTTTTTATTTTTATTTTTATTTAATCAAATTTATTTGAGCAAAAACAAATTAACAATATTTATCTCTAAAGAAAAATAAATTTTAAAGTAACAATCAATATAATTCACGAGAATATTATTGTTGGCTACAACAAAATACAAAACGTTAAACGTCGTTTAACATTTTTCCTTTCTTTTTATTTTTTATACATCCAACATAGAGGGTACAAACTCATTTAATTCACAATCAAACCTATTTATTGACTTTCTCTTCATACGACTCTTTTTATTTGAAAATATATCGATCTTCAAAGAATTCGAAAATAAATTAAACGAAATATTTACACAAATTGGTTCAATGCATTAATCTAACCTTATCGATTAATTTAAAATTATCAAATTATTTTATCTAATAAGAAAAATTTCTTTTTTCTGTCTTTTATTAACAAGTAACGCTCGTCTGTGTGACTCGCTTAACCCTCGACTGAATGTTTCACTGCATCAGCAGTTGTTTATTACTGCAGACATTTTGCAAAAGGTAGCATCGGGCATTGGCACATGGCTTTGTGCTAGTGTCAACATTAGTGTACACATGTGTCGGCGTGTATAATGCTATTGGTACCGTTGTAATACTGCTAGCTATAACATTCGTTCATTTAATCTGTTACTCTATCAATAACACTCAAAATAAATCTACGTGACCCACACTGACACAGCAATATCCTCAAACCACGAAAAAATAGTATATTCGATTTTCAGAGAAAATCAGCAGACAAAAAATATCAGCGTGACTGCAGTAAAGATGCACTACACTTCACGCAAACTGTATTAATAATGCGCATACTCATAAACACATAGGCGGGCAATATCGCTGACCGGTACCCACTACGAAAATGCATGTTTAGCGTAGCTATCAGACTAAAAAGCTATATTTGTTCAAACTAATATCCGGCATACGCAAGTTGAATCAGGCTTCAACTCTGAGTCTTTGTGAGATTAAATAACGAATTTTAAATAGCCGGAAAAAAATTTGACAAGTCAATGGGCAGATGACGTATCTATGAAGATAAAGGATTATTAAATTCCATTCAAGTCCACTTTTGATGATTCGATGCAAATTGTATTATTGACGCTTTTCAGGAAATGTTCGATTCCGATATTGAAGATCTCCAACACACTCGTTCTCACACTTCATTCAAATACACTTGTTAACCCTCTTGCCAGTTCTTCCTCCCATGAATCCTAGTAAGATCTAAGTGCTACAGATCCTTCCAATGGATTAGAAGTTTAAAAGAATTCTATTCAAAGGATTTTTTAGGGCAGCAGCTAGTCACTCGTCGGCATCCGAGTGGGTCGTCACGCGCAACTAATTGCTGTTATGAATCGTTCTCTTCCAGTAATTATATAATCATGCACTGTTATTTAAATTTTACTGGATTCTAGATTTGGATTAGTTTCAAAGCTGCCTATATTTATCGCATGAGAAATCCCAAAGTGAAAATACTTGTGAACTATTCCTTATGCGTTTCAATCCTTTACCTAGCTAGTCAATCTAAGATTTCATGGAGCTCGCCATCGAAAGAAGCTTAAGTATATGATTTCACACAAAAAACTAGCTTAATAGACCATATCTCATACCAAAAAAATTGTGAAATAGAAATAGAAGCTACTATATTTCACTGTCGGAGTTCCGACGTGGCGCTATTCACACTTAGCTACTACTATCTTTGAACACATATTCTCAAATGACTACTTTCTTATTCAAGGCATGACTAATCCACATTTCGACTGCTTCAAAAGCTTCTCTACTCGTAACTAAAGGGTACTAGATTTCCTATATCCAGCAAGATATCTATTAAATATATACGTGTCGTCTCTCGAGTTTCTCCATGTTTATAGGAGTCCTTCTCTACATAAAATGTCACATGTTAAGTCTCTGTGGCACTTTTTTAAGGACCTTGCTTGATGTTATGCAGAAATGTCGTAAAACAGATTTGAATAAACCTAGTTTAGAGGCAGCTATTCGTTCGCCGTCCTTCCGAAGGAACGCCATTCACGGCTATCCGCTACTTCCAGCTACTTTCACTCACGAAAGGTTGATACCATTTTCAAAATCGAGCCATCGTTCCTATTTAAAAAACTGATGGAAAGTTTGATCCTTTACAAAAAAATTCATCCACATTAGAAATTTTCTTTGGAAGCTTATCAGTATTCAGGAAGAGGACACGTTAGTATAGATTTACCGATAATCTGAAATATTCTGAATAAGTGGACACAGCCGTTGTATCCTGTCAATCTAAATAATTTTTTTGCGTAACTCGCTCTCATTCCTCAATCTTTGCTCTACAAGCACTCTAATTTCATCTTATCTTCGCATTTCTTGATTCATTACACTACTGTCACGTATTACAAAGTACTTGCTGTTTCTCAACATCACTTCTCATAGAACGAATAGATTCGAGATCTGAATTTTGGAATCCTGATTCCAGATTCGGATTTCTCACCCTCGATAACCTCTAACAAAGTTCGATCAAAACGGCCAAAAGCCGTAAAATAAAAAAGTTCCTTTTTTGATTGACCGGTTTCCGACCAATGAAACTTCGGCCAAAGAAATGGCTTCGGATTCGGATTCAGGGCCATCGATAACCTATAGCAAAGTTTCATCAAATCGTCGAAAAGCCTTAAAATAAAAAAGCTGGTTTCTGATTGGCCGGATTTCACACAATGAAAGCCCGGCCAAAAAAACTGACTTCGGATTCGGAATCCTGGCCATCGATAACCTATAGCAAAGTTCACTCAAAACGACCAAAAGTTTTAAAATGAAAAAGCTCATTTCTGATTGACCGATTTCTGACCAATGAAATCTCGGCCAAAAAAATGGCCTTCGGATTCAAATTCAGCGCTCTCGATAACCTATAGCAGAGTTCGATCAAAACGGCCAAAAGTCTCAAAATAAAAAAAAGTTCGTTTCTGATTGGCCGGTTCCTGACCAATGAAATCTCGGCCAAAAAAATGGGCTTCGGATTCAGATTCAGGGCCCTCGATAACCTATAGCAAAGTTCCATCAAAAAGGTCAAAAGCCTTTAGAATAAGAAATTTCGTTTCTGATTGGTCGGTTTTCAACTAATGACACCTCGGCAACCGAAATTGGCAATGGATTCAGATTCAGGGCCCTCGATAACCTATGGCAAAGTTCACTCAAAACGACCAAAAGTCTTAAAATAAGAAAGTTCGTTTTTGATTGGTCAGTTCCTGACCAATAAAACCTCGGCCACCGAAATGGGCAATGGATTCGGATTCAGGGCCCTCGATAAC